AGCTAAATCCAAGTAATAAATTATTAAAAAATTTGCGGCAAAAAGGTGCAGTTGCAAAAAAAACCACATTTCCGGTATTTATACACACAAGTATACGTACCTTGCGAATGAAAATGCCAAAGAGGCCTTTCGGGAAAATAAACGAGTGATCACGCTCATGCCTTCGTGACGGCTGTAGAAAATCACGACTTATCAGTATTTCCACATCATCACTATGGCTTCTCACTCTATAAGCAGTTTCAACACGTCGAAAGGTGAAAAAAAATGCAAAATTATGAAAAAATAAGGCAAAAAAATGTGAAGGCAGACAACTTTTGCTCTACATAAATGCGTAAATGAGTGTGTATGTATGTGTGTTTATATGTAGCATGTATGTAATGTATGTATGTGTATGTGTGTGTGTATATGTATGTATATATGTATGTATGCATGTATGTATGTATGTATGTATGTTTGTATGTATGTATGTATGTATGTATTTGTGTATGTATGTATGTATATGAATGTATGTATATGAATGTATGTATATGTATGTGCATGCGTATACTGTGTGTGGAGAAATGTAAAAGCAGACAATCTTTGCTGCGCATAAATGCGTAAATGAGTATGTATGTATGTATGTATGTATGTATGTATGTATGTATGTATGTATGTATGTATGTATGTATGTTGTATATGTATGTATGTATGTATGTATGTATGTATGTATGTATGTATGTATGTATGTATGTATGTTTGTTATGTATGTATGTATGTATGTATGCATGTATGTATGTATGTGTGGTATGTATGTATGTATGTGTGTATGTATGTATGTATGTATGCATGTATGTATGTATGTATGTATATATATGTATGTATGTGTGTACTTAGAATAACAATGGGTTAAAGTGACTGGATAAACGTGGATTCAGAAAAGGCATAAAGTGAAGATAAAACAATGCGCGGAAAAAATGACCAACTTTGCCAGGAAGAGAGTGTAGAGCTCTGGTATGCAGGGTCGTAGCGATATTCGTAAAATTTCGATTAGCTCCAGGAAGCTTAGATTTGCGGCTTGTAGCAAACGTTGCAGAATCGCCGAAAGCAAGCAACGCTCTTGAGGAGCAATCGGATGTTGCTGATAATAATTATCCACAACGCGGATCAAGAGATACAACGCCAGCTGAAAAATACACACACCTATGCAAGAGGCAATGCAACGATTGCATTTCACATCTACACAGAATGTGCAAACCTAAAACACAGCGCAATAACCAATTTAGACTGCAACGCACTAGGCTTGCCGATGCGATCATGCGTTTTTGCGCTAAACTTGCAAACTGCTAATGGCAGGAATGGTCCCGTACTGTATTTTGAAACTTAGACCGATACTGGCTGTGCTTTGGTCTCTTCCTGCATGCAAAGGGAATGGGCGTGGACTGGGATGATGTTGCATTATGGGGCCACTTGAACCTCCAGTGTGCGTGATTATCAGTTTTTTGCATGAAGCTCGGTTGTTTTTCTGGTGGATGCTCGTTCACTGAAAAAATGCAAATTTGAAAGAAATCCGAAGAGGATTACGAGATCTGCAAAATGCACTAGCTCCTGAGTTTGTGATAAAACTGACTATTTATCATGTCTGCGTGCATGGAATTTCACCTCCAAGTTGAATTAAGACCAAACGTGAATATAGAATATCTCTGCAAAGTTTAAGCTTCGCAGCTTGGCTGATATGCGAAATAGCCATTTCGCGTCCTTGAAATGCCCTAAGTCGTGGCGCAAGTGCAAATCGGACCTCAATTTAGGTATATGATTTTCAATATGAATAATAAATACGGTGACAAAATTTCAGCCACCGTTCTCCAGCTTCAGCACAATGCCAACTGCGAACTTTGACGTAATCGCGTGCGTGGTATAAATGTGCACGACAACTGATTTTGAAATCTTTAGCTCACACATGTACAGAGAATATCCTTGGAAAAGTTTTAACCTTCAATCTTGTCTGGACCACGAAATCGTTTTTCGCTAAAGAAAAACGCATAAAAAAGCAGAGGACACGTAAGATGATAGAATGTGAAAAAAAGAAACAAACCCGAAACGGGGTGATCGGCTCAACCAGTGAACTATCGATGAGAAAACTGTACGCATCATCCAAACTCAATCTACTGGACATTCCTGAAATAAAAACTGATCTGACAATTAGAAAAGCATGTACACATCGTAAATTTAGACCCAAAATGCGTGATTTGAAGCTAACCCGATGCATACGCCATTAAGCAAATCCTAGAGCATTCAGTTTCATCCCTTAGCTGTAAACACTGACACACATACACCCATGCACAAAGAATATCCCTGCAAAGTTTCAGCTTTTTATCTTGTCCGATTCGCGATACACACACACACACACACACACACACACAAGCGTGCAGAAATATGAATCACTAGAGAAGTGGAAAAACCTTGGAGAAGTGGACCCGGACGCATCGAAAACGAAAATGATGCAAAGTGCCAGAATCCCCGCCGGTCAGACTATAAATAATTGGCGTTGAAATCAAAGAACCTGAAACCCACGCCAAAGAACTGCTAACCAAGAAAATATATATCGTAAAAATACTAACAAATGCCTTATTTGGTTGGGCAATTACTAAAACTCGGCTCGGCCGGCGACATACACGATTTGCGAAAAATTTTTTTTGGAGATGTCGGGTAATTCTACCCAATGGGGCGAGTGGCGGGATTTCGAATGTGATAGGTGGGAGGGGAAACGGGGAGAGGAGGGAAGGAGAAAATGCGTGAGGTTGGTGCGCTGTGGGCTTCGTTCGAGGCAAGGGAAGGGACTGGAGTAGCTGGACTTCATGACTGTAGGACCCAAATCTTTTTTGGCGTAAGTTCATAACTCGGGGATCTGAGAAGCTGGGAACGCTGATATCATAGTATGATGTTCCCTGTCCAAGTAGGTGTTAATGCACTCAAACCCATTCCCCGGAAAGACGTGGTAACCGCGTAAAGGCGGAGAACTGGGAGTTTGAAATTTTGGAAGAATGTTCATCGTCCAAAGTTTCAAATTCAGCTTTCATGTGCGTCTCTAGCACGTAAAACTTTTAATGGGAAATTTCACAGCTTATAGTTTCCTTGTTGGTTGGCAAGGTCATGTAAATTTTGGTGGGGGAGGGGGTTCGTTTAATTTTATGCAAATTTTGAATGTTACGAAAAATTTATGCAAATTTACTAGCTGGCAAGCTTTGTACAGTTGCTTCTACCGTACAGAAAGGCAGTGAGATGGAACAGAGGAAGAGACATTTCGGCTCGTTCAACAGCTTAGTAACTCACTCAAAACTGCTTGCAAAAATTAGTAAGCTGCGCACACTGGTAAGGGTGAATAGTTTTGTACGGGGTGTTGGGGACTAGGCAAAGACTTACAAACAACTGCCTAGCCCCAAGTATTTTGATGGCTTTGTTAGGAATAACAAAGCGATAAACGTGTCCAGCATGATGGGGAATGATCTTATTACGCACTGGCATACATGAGAAGTAAAAAATCAGAACGCTGTGTGTTCATGCTAAAACGTTGCCGGAATCATATGCATTGGAAGGAAGATATCGCGTAATATATCAAATAATGATTAATGGTTTTTGTTAAAAATAGATTAATGACCAACTGCGTTACTATGACGCAGTACCTCTGTCCCTGGTTCAAACTTTGACCATCCTACCCTCATTAAACTTTCGATCTTTGTCCCATGGGGTATAAAAGCACTCCCTCCCCATCGCCGGGATCGCCACTACCGATCTACTACTGCGACTTACTTCTTCTACATAAATACTACTCCTATTCTGGGGAGCTTCGGCTCCCAGAAATTCACCTACTTTTTATGCATTATCCTTTTACTTTACTATGTATTAATAAAAATGTATATAGGACGCGACGTGTTACACACACACACACACACACACACACACA